TGTAGTTTGAAGCCTATTAAACTTCTTTAAAATATTATATATATGAACATAATGAGATGTCTTGGATATCTTGGAGATTGGAATCACCTCCAGGACCATTTACTGAATTTGTGTAAAGAACAACATAGAAGAGGGGGGGGGGGGGGGGCAAATAAGCCAGGCTCACTACCTACTCTGTTATGTTGGAAAAGTGTGTATTTGCCACCAAAATGGAAATCATAAGAATTTTAGTATCTATCAAGAGATAATTCTAAGCAATCCACCAAACTGCAAATCCTTGGACCCCACAGGTCTTTCCATTAGCACTCCAGACAATTTGTAATTTCACAGGACCGCTTATTTAACTGTGCTTTTTAAAACTGCACCCATACCTTGGGAAGTCAGACTTGGCCATGGTGGTCCACGCTCTCAAAAGATCCATTGCCTAGTCAAAGCCATGGTATTCCCTGTAGTCACCTACGGATGTGAGAGCTGGACCTTCGGGAAGGCTGAGTAAAGGAAGAGAGATGCTTTTGAGCTGTGGTGTTGGAGGAAAGTGCTGAGAGTGCCTTGGACTGCGAGAAGATCCAACCAGTCCATCCTCCAGGAAATAAAGCCCGACTGCTCATTGGAGGGAAGGATACTAGAGACAAAGTTGAAGTACTTTGGACACATCATGAGGAGACAGCAAGCCTAGAGAAGACAATGATGCTGGGGAAAGTGGAAGGAAAAAGGAAGAGGGGCCGACCAAGGGCAAGATGGATGGATGGCATCCTTGAAGTGACTGGCTTGACCTTGAAGGAGCTGGGGGTGGTGACGGCCGACAGGGAGCTCTGGCGTGGGCTGGTCCATGAGGTCACGAAGAGTCGGAGACGACTGAACAAATGAACAACAACAACATATGGCCATGTTCTAGAGGCATTCTCTCCTGATGTTTCGCCTGCATCTATGGCAAACATCCTTACTACCTCTGAGGATGCTGGCCATAGTTGCAGGCAAAACGTCAGGAGAGAATGCCTCTAGAACATGGCCATATAGCCCGAAAAAACCTACAACAATCCAGTGATTCCGGCCATGAAAGCCTTCAACAATACAACCTATACACATACACACCACTTCTTGACATAACACTTGACTTGTTTTGTTGTCCTCCTGAAAATAACTGCAACCGCCTATGTCTCTGCTGAGGACGGATTCCAAAGTCCATCTTTGCCTTGAATCGGAGATAGATGAGCAGAGCGCTTTGGCTGCCTCTTGGGAAGGTGGCTGCTTTTCCTCTTCCTCCGTTCTGCAGACACTCTTTGGCAACCTGTGCTGACAACGCAGCGGAAAGGAACCTGCCGGGCGAGGGGGGAAAGCGTTGCTTCAGAACACACGGGCTGTGCCAGTTGCCAAGGGAGGAGCAGCATTCTGCTTTGTCACGTCCCAGCCGTTCACAAAGAAGCTCTGGCTGTGGCTCCTGAGCCTCTGCCAAAGACCTCCTGGTTTGCAGCAGTGATGCATGACTTTGGGGAATGACTTCTAAAGGGACGAGCCTGTTAGTCTTTTGCAACTAAAGCAACAAAGTTCTGTATTGCATCTAAAGTCCACCAGAGATCATGCTAATATACAGTGATCTTTAAGGTGTGGCAAGACTCTCGTTGTTATTGATGGAAATGAATCTCTTGTCAAGTCTGACAAATCTCTCTCTGTCTGTGGAAGCAGATACGATATGGAAATGCCCCTGTCCCTCATCACTCACTTATTTCCAGAAATAGTGGCAGAAGTCATGATTGTATTGTCAAGGGCTTTCATGGCCGGAATAACTGGGTTGTTGTAGGTTTTTTCGGGCTATATGGCCATGGTCTAGAGGCATTCTCTCCTGACGTTTCGCCTGCATCTCTGGGAAGCATCCTCAGAGGTAGTGAGAAGTCATGATTGTTTTTTTCCTGTGGATGAGGAGCATTTGTAACTTTCACCGTCCAGGAAGTGTTGCCTTGCAAATGGCTGTCGAACTGTGTGGGAGTTCCCCACCCATCCCATTAAAATCCATCCCACCAAAGAATTGGGCACCTTTTTCCTCTCCTGAAAGAAAATCTCATCTATCTGTTGAAATCCTCCAGTATCTTGCATGGATTTAAGTGGTTAAGTGGGTGCATCTCTTAGACTAGAAACCTACTGCTCTGAGCTGTTACCATAGAAACAACAAAACTGGGAATGTCCTTTATTTATTAATGGGGAAATTTCCCTGGTAAATAAAAGGAAATTCCCAAATGTAGATGCTGCCAAGCTGCATAGCACCAGTGGACCCCCACTGCTGCAAATTGTGGGGAATGGAAGTGTTGGTATGGCTGAAGACACACTCCCAAGGTAACATTTTGGTCATAGATAGGACAACGCATATCCTGGTATGACCCAGTGGTTTGGGAGAGCTTACTCAGTGTTGGAGGCGAACCTCATCAGGTTCTACACATCCAGTGTTGAACCTGTCTGGTCCTTGGCGCCACTGGCGGAAAGAGAATCTGAGGTCCTGTTGGTAGATCCCAAATAGAAAAGACTAATTTGATCAATTGCTGAGTGAGATATCAAAATATGTATAGATCTCATAGATTTAGTGGGTCTACTCCAGTCATGACTAAAATAGGATTTAACCCTAAGAATGCTGGGAATTCCAGAAAGAACAAAAGGCCTGCTTTTGAAACAGAACAACTTAACTTCATGAAAGCTCTTCCAAGCTGCCGAGGGCTGCCCTGGTGATAAAAAAACAGGTTCAGCTCCACTGGCTGCCAGTTTGCTACTGGGCCCAATTCAAAGTGCTGGCTTTGGCCTAGAAAGCCCTAAACGGTTCTGGTCCAACTTACCTGTCCGAATGTATCTCCACTTACGAACCACTCCGGACTTTAAGATCATCTGGGGAGGCCCTGCTCTCGGTCCCGCTTTCGTCACAAGCATGTTTGGCGGGGACGAGAGACAGGGCCTTCTCAGTGGTAGCCCATCGGCTATGGAATGCCCTCCCTAGGGAGATCAGATCTGCTCCCTCCCTCTTGACCTTTCAGAGGCAAGTTATAACGTAGCTGTTTGAGCAAGCGTTTACAAATACAGAGTAGCTAATATAGGAAATCGAATGACCTGACAATGGAATTGGACAATGCTTGAGAATAATGAGACGCTGGTGATGTTGCTTTTGTTGCTTTTGGGATGTCTTATACTGTTTAATGTTTTTTATCTATTACGTTTTATGTATACTGATTTGTTGGAAACCGCCTTGAGTCGCCAAATTGGCTGAGAAAGGCGGTATACAAATACAGTAAACAAATAAATTCATCGTTCGTTGTGTACCTTCAAGTCATTGTCAACTTACAGTAACTCTGAGGAAAGTCTTATCTTGGCAATATATTTTCAGAGGGAGGTTGCCTTTCCTTCTTTTGAGGCTGAGAGTGACTTGCTTAAAGTCATCCGCCGGGTCTCCATAATCCAATCCTTAAACCACTACACCAAACACTGTGACCCCTCTATCTATTGGAGGTATCTTCCAGAGGTTTGTGTGGTTAATGTGAAACCATAAATAATGGCCAGCACTATTATTTTCAGTGGGATGAATGGCAAAAGGACTGAGAAGAGGGTGTCACTTGTACAGTAGGTCCTAAGTGGAATGGTGGAAAAGTGAAACCACGCATATCCACTCTGCAAATATGAGGATCATACTGTACTGGCTCTCTGGTGATAAAATACTTTCCAGGAATTGAAACAGTCTGTAGCTTCGATATCTGAGAAAAGTTATGGTGGCCTCTGCATCTGTCAGAAAATTTATCAACAAAACATTTCTCAAACATGTGTGGCTGAGGGTGCTTGCTGTTTTGACTGTGAACATCTGATATGGTTTGAATCCACTGGTGTCTTCAGTTCATTTAGTATACAAATACTCCTCCCTTCCCTCTCCCCACTTCTTCTGTTGTTAATAATGGATGTTTCCTATGTTCTTTGATTTCTGGTTGCTTTGGTTGTTTTGGTTTCTGTCTGCACTTTATGGCATTGAATGTTTGCCACTGTTGGTTGCAAACTGCCCAGAGTCCCTACAAGGAGATAGGGCGGGATAGAAATAAAGTTTATTATTATTATTATTATTATTATTATTATTATTATTATTATTTTACAAGTGACCAGATACTGGTCAAAGGACATTTAACGAACTACCAAATTTGCAAAATCTGTGTGTTTTTGTTTTTGTTTTGGTTTTTTTTTCTTTCTTTTTTTTCTTTTTCTTTTTAATCTGTGTGTTTGTTTTGCTCTGTTAGCATTGTAATATAATGGTATGGTTGCTGATGACACGATAAATAAATAAATTATTTTACTGACACAAAAGCATAGTATGTCACAGCAAACGAGTTCTATATGCTGGATTTCGTATCACAAAATCAAAAGTCGAACACATTCCTGGGGTTTGATTCATTTATAGCTTGTGTTTTATCCTGATTGGGGACCGAAAATGGCTTACAACAAAGATTTACCATAAAGTTATTTCATGGTGCCTTGAGATTCTTACATGTGGTCTGGGACATAAATCTTTTAATGATTAAAACAAATAAAATGTTACTAAAACCTGATGGTAAAAACGTTAAGAAATTAAACTAGATACTATATAAAAACACGCATATTTTAAAGCATTGTAAACTAATTTTAAAAGCCGAGAAAATGACAATTAAAAGGCTGCACATGCACCTCACAAAATACCTTTCTTCCATAATTTCTTGATGCATTGTTTGGGTGTTTTGGGAAGCCTTGTTTCCAGTGTTTGGATGGCCAAAAGCTCCCTAGTGCCTTCTTACCAAATTTCACCCCATGGCAGATTTAGGGCAGATTTAGCCCTCAGGGTCATAGTCCAGAAGACATGACAAAAGAAAAAGTGATTTAGAGGAAGGAGGCAAAAGGGAGGAAGATTTGCAAAAGGAGGAAGGAGGCAAAAAGGAAGCTCAGGCAGTGAAATTGAAATTGTTGTTCAGAATGTGTATCTGAATCAGACTTTTTTTGTTTTTCTATTTCAGGCTCATATTAAATTTCCTATGGACTACCCATATTCACCTCCTACCTTCAGATTCCTGACCAAAATGTGGCATCCCAACATTTATGAGGTACGCATGTATGAGCTGGTTATTTCTCCTTGTCTCTTCATTTATCTTCACCACCATGAAAGCTGAAAACATACTCCTGAGTTATGCCGATGCAGGAAAACAAGGCTACAGGTCAATGGCAGTCTCTTCTGCTCTACCTTTCCTTGTTGACAAATGTAGGTGATAACAGCTGCCTGGGTGGTTTTTTCCCCATCTCTCCCATATGGTAAAAGGAAGTTCAGGGTGTTTCTATCTTCTGCTTGCTGTCAAGGTCTTATTTACTTGCTTGCCCCACTCCTGGTGAAGAGACAGGAAAGACTGCTGTGTTGTGCTAAAAAGGGAAGGATAGCAAAAGGTGATAGGCTGTCAAAACAGTTCTTACAGGAGAGGAGCAGAGAAGTTTGCCAACGTCTAAGTGGATTCTCTAGCAATTTGAATGATCTACGCTCTGGAACAGCAAAAGGCAAGCTTCCCCTATTGTCTGTATTATGTCCATTCAGATATGTACAGTAGAATCTCACTTATCCAAACTTCACTCGTCCAACGTTGTGTATTATCCAATGCAGTCTGCGTTCTTCCCGGATCCATGCTTGTTTCAATACATTGCGATGTTTTGGTGCTAAATAAGTAATTGCTACATAACGTTACTGTGTATTGACCTGTTTTTCTGTCATTTTGTTGTAAAACATATTTTGTTTTATTTATTTATTTATTTGAATTATTTCTACCCCGCTCATATCAGCCCGGAGGCTACTCAGAGCGGCGTACACAATCAGCACAATTCGATGCCATAAAAATACATACATTGATAAACAAAAGAACCATTATAGTGCAATTAGATATAAGATAGTGCACCCTAAAAACTATATCCTCTCATTCAAGTCCTTATCCGTTCCATCGTTACAAATTAAGCACCGTTTTGGTGCTTAATTTGTAAAATCATAACAATTTGACATTTAATAGGCTTTTCCTTAATCCCTCCTTATTATCCAACATTTTCACTTATCCAACATTCTGCCTGCCTGTTTATGTCGGATAAGCGAGACTCTAGTGCAGGGGTCCTCAAACTAAGGCCTGGGGGCCGGATGCGGCCCTCCAAGGTCATTTACCCGGCCCTCGCTCAGGGTCAACCTAAGTCTGAAACTACTTGAAAGCACACAATAACAATAACAATCCCATCTCATCAGCCAAAAGCAGGCCCACACTTTCCATTTAAATACTAATAACTTTATATTTGTTAAAATTGTTCTTCATTTCAATTATTGTATTGTTTTTAAGGGGGGGTTTTGCACTACAAATAAGATATGTGCAGTGTGCATAGGAATTCATTTATGCTTTTTTTTCCGTCCCTCCAACAGTTTGAAGGACTGTGACCTGGCCCTCGGTTTAAAACGTTTGAGAACCCCTGCTCTTGTGTATATGGTGGAAGCTTCTGACCTTTCCCTTGCTCTCTACCAGCAACTACATTAGGGATAGGGACCATTTCCCTCTGTGGGATGCATCCCTCCACCATACACCAAACTAAAATGCCTGTTTTTCCTCTGTAGTCTCTTTCTAAAATAGTGGCATTGAGCCTGTCATCATTTTGTGAGACTACAGAGGAAAAATGGATAGTGGCCTGCCGGCTATTAGGAATTGTGGAAGTTGAAGTCCAAAACACCTTGACAGCCCAAGTTTCCCCATGCCTGATCTAGAGTGTTTCTAGAGTGTCCTAATGCTGTAACGCTCTTCCATTTATTACCTTCTGGCCTGAGTTGGGCTTCATTGTTTAAGCATATTATGAGAATAACCGTTCTGTGATCACGGCACACAGAGCATTCCTTACACACTTCGCGTTCAGTCAAAATGCATCTGTACCAGATTAGATCCACACTGAAAAGAAAATCATCTGGCAGTCCTAGGACTGTTCGAACACCAGAAAATGTGGAAGCGGTGAGAGCATCCACTCAGCAATCACTAAGGCCTATGAGCATGGCACGGTACTGGGGATGTCAAGTTGGAGTTCGAAGAGGATTCTGCCTTCCGATTTAAAACGACATCCTTATGAAACTATTTGTACAATATGATTTTTTAAAACTCATTAAGACATAACTTTTTATGCATATTCATAACTATATTCAATTTTTCAAGATCGCTTAGTTCGTTTTCTCTCCCCCTTCAAAATGAGGGGGATTTTAATGCCCCACCCAATAGCATACCGAGCTGCTGAGTGCCCAGTGTGTAACACATCTCACTACGCTAAAACAGTAGATGTGGCTCTTAATGAGACATGCTGCATTATCATGGGGTGTCTGCACCCTACACCACTGGAGAAATTACACTGTTTAGCCGGTATTGCACCACCTGACATCCGCCAGGAAGTAGCAGCCAATAGTGAAAGGACCAAGGCAGAGACATCTCCAGCTCATCCCCTGTTTGGGTATCAGCCAGCACGTCAGTGACTTAAATAAAGAAATAGTCTTCTAAGATCTACAGAGGCACTTGCTGGAACACCTCAGCAAGCCAGACTCCAAAAGTGGCAGGCTCAAACCCAGAACTTCAACCCATAGCTGAGACCAAATGAGAGACTCCCCCCTGGGCACACAGAAAACTGGGCGACTTGGAAGGCACTGAACAGACTGCGCTCGGGCATCACGAGATGCAGATCCAGCCTTAAGAAATGGGGCTACAAAGTGGAATCCACGACATGCGAGTGCGGAGAAGAGCAAACCACTGACCACCTGCTGCAATGCAACCTGAGCCCTGCCACATGCACAATGGAGGACCTTCTTATACTCACACCAGAAGCACTCCAAGGGGCCAGATACTGGTCAAAGGACATTTAATCAACCACCAAGCTTGCAAACTTTGTGTTTTGTCTGTCTGTTTGTTTGTTTTGTTAAAAATGTAATACAAATGTCTGGTTGCTCCTGACACGATAAATAAAAATAAATAAAAATTCAAGAACTGACCACGAAACAACAGACTGGTTCAAGATTGGGAAAGGCGTACGGCAAGGCTGCATCCTCTCACCCAACCTTTTTAACGTGTATGCAGAACACATCATGCGATGTGCGGGGCTGGATGAATGCAAAGCTGGGGTGAAAATTGCTGGAAGAAACATTAACAACCTCAGATCTGCAGATGACACCACTCTGATGGCCGAAAGCGAGGAGGAGCTGAGGAGCCTTCTAATCAAGGTGAAAGAAGAAAGCGCAAAAGCCGGGTTGCAGCTAAACATAAAAAAAACCAAGATTATGGCAACAAGAATGATTGACAACTGGAAAATAGAGGGAGAGACGTGGAGGCCGTGACAGACTTTGTATTTCTAGGTGCAAAGATTACTGCAGATGCAGACTGTAGCCAGGAAATCAGAGGACGCTTACTTCTTGGGAGGAGAGCAATGACCAATCTCGATAAAATACTGAAGAGTAGAGACATCACATTGGCAATGAAGATCTGCATAGTAAAAGCAATGGTATTCCCCGTGGTCACCTATGGATGTGAGAGCTGGACCTTAGAAGAGGCTGAGTGAAGAAAGATAGATGCTTTTGAACTGTGGTGTTGGAGGAAAGTTCTGAGAGTGCCTTGGACTGCGAGAAGATCCAACCAGTCCATCCTCCAGGAAATAAAGCCCGACTGCTCACTGGAGGGAAAGATACTAGAGACAAAGTTGAATTACTTTGGCCACATCATGAGGAGACAGGAAAGCCTAGAGAAGACAATTATGCTGGGGAAAGTGGAAGGCAAAAGGAAGAGGGGCCGACCAAGGGCAAGATGGATGGATGGCATCCTTGAAGTGACTGGACTGACCTTGAGGGAGCTGGGGGTGGTAACGGCCGACAGGGAGCTCTGGCGTGGGTGGTCCATGAGGTCAGGGGGCTCTGGTGTGGGCTGGTCCATGAGGTCACGAAGAGTCGGAGACGACTGAACGAATGAACAACAACAAAGAATTAAGGCAAATACTGAACAAATAACAAATAGATAAGTCACTGTTTTCTGTGTAAAGAAGATGAAGCTGTTGACCGCCTGCCAGTTTGTGCAGGAAGATTGTGCAGGCTGGAATATAACACAAACCATGACATAATGGCTGCCATGATATGCTGGAATCAGTGCAATCTGATTCACCCTCTGAGAGCCAGTATGGGGTTTAGATGTTGGATTATAACCTAGGAATCATAGAAGCAATGAGTTGGAAGAGACCACAAGGGACATTCTAAGCCAAGGTTCGAATTCCTACTTGGCCAAGTAGTCTTGGGCAAGTCACACTCTTTCGGCCTCAAAGGAAGGCAGTGGCAAACCTACATTAAAAAGATCTTCCTGAGAAACAAACCCTTATGATAGTATCACGTTAAGACTGCCATGAGTCAGAATCAGCTTGAAGGCACACAACAACAGATATTGAGAAGCTGGAATGTGTCCAGAGGAGGGCAACTAAAATGATCAAGGGTGTGGAGAACAAGCCCTATGAGGAGCGGCTTAAAGAGCTGTGCATTTTTAGCCTGAAGAAGAGAGGGCTGAGAGGAGATATGATAGCCATGTATAAATAGGTGAGAGGAAGTCACAGGGAGGAGAGAGCAAGCTTGTTTTCTGCTTCCCTGGAGACTAGGACAAGGAACAATGGCTTCAAACTACAAGAGAGGAGATTCCATCTGAACATGAGGAAGAACTTCCTGACTGTGAGAGCCGTTCAGCAGTGGAACTCTCTGCCCTGGAGTGTGGTGGAGGCTCCTTCTTTGGAAGCTTTTAAGCAGAGGCTGGATGGCCATCTGTCAGGGGTGATTTGAATGCAATATTTCTGCTTCTTGGCAGAATGGGGTTGGACTGGATGGCCCAGGTGGTCTCTTCCAACTCTTTGATTCTATGATTCTATGAATCAGTGTAATCATGTTGGAGTATAACCTAGGAATCATAGAACCAATGAGTTGGAAGAGACCGCAAGGGACATTCTAAGCCAAGGTTCGAATTCCTGCTTGGCCAAGTAGTCTTGGGGAAGTCACACTGTCTCGGCCTCAAAGGAAGGCAGTGGCAAACCTACATTAAAAAGATCTTCCAGAGAAACAAACCCTCACGATAGTATCACGTTAGGACTGCCATGAGTCAGAATCAGCTTGAAGGCAAACAACAAACAAACAACGCCAGACATAAGTATGATTGGGAAAATTAAAGCTTGGATTATAAATTGTGGGCATCCCAGTGGACCATGAAATTGAAAACAAAGAGAAGAAACAGATTATGAAATATCAAGACCTTCGGGGGGTCCCTGGGAAAAGAAACCTATTGTGGTCGCAATGGTGAGAGTAATTCAGAATGGACTTCTCATATCTGACTAAATCACAATTTTAAAAAGTGACACTGCTTGAAATGTGCCACATTAACAATGTCTCGAGGGGGTAGAAATTTTGGGGTAGAAACCTAATCATTCTGATCTGCCCACAATAGTTCCAAAATAGAGGCATGCACAATAATAGATTGTGTTGATGCCCACCGCCCAATCACTCCTGCACGTTTGTTTTTGCAAAAGGGATAATAATCTGTGCTCTGCAGGGGTCCAGAGTGATGGAAAACAGAGAAGCCATTGGCTCCGTACGATGTGGCTTCCTTTGTGTTTCACGATGCTGTTTTCCATACTAGGGGAATTGCTGTATCCTGAGCGCAAAGTGTTTGGGAGAAGGCGAGACAAAGGGAAGAGTGTGGTCCAAGTCGGCAGGTTGCATTGACAAGGCAGGCTGATCCGGGAGGCTGATCCGCAGAGCGTGCAAGTTGCCCCTCTCCTTCTGCGCCTCCCTCTTTGTTGTCCCAGCCTCACTTCACTTCAGGCATGGAAGACCAGGCAGGGCCAGATCTCCCTGGAGCAGAAGGGCTTTTGTTTGGCAGCCTGTAGCTCCCAGGAAGCAGGAAGCAGAAGAAGGTGCCTTTCTGCCAAGAGCTCTGGCTCCCCCAGCTGGAGAGTCTTCAGCTGGGAATGCTTTCCAAATGAGCCCAGAACACAAACACAGCCATAGTTACGGGTTATGCATCCATGGGGTCACCCAGAAAACAGAGATTTCTTTGAATTCCACAATTTTTGCCATTTTACTATGCCGTTGTATATAATGGGACTTCGTCATCTGCAGATTTTGGTATCCCCAAAGCATCCTAGAACTAAACCTCAGCAGATAATTTGGGCTCATTGTATACATTACAAGGAGGAGAGTTGGCATCTTAAAGCATCGCTTTTTTTAAGTGAAATTTTAAAATATAATTACAATCGATGTGAGGGAAGAGAAATGAAGGCAGAACACAGAGGATATGAAAGAACCAATGTAGTGTGGTGGTTTGAGCACTGCTCTGTGGCGCTGGAGAGCAGGGTTCAAATCCTTGCATTGCTCTGGACACTCACTAGTGACCTTGGGTGTGTCACACTCTCTCAGCCTCAAATGACGTTGGAAACAACTTGAAGGCGCATAGCAACATAACAACATTTTATTTATTTATTTACTTATTTATTATTCAAACTTATATGCCGCCACTCCCCTGGGGCTCGGAGCGGCTTACAAGAACAGGCTAAAATCGAACACAATTTAAAAACAATTTAAAACAATTTAAAAACAACAATATCAAAGATCAAAGGCCTGTCGAAACAGATATGTCTTACATGCCCTGCGGAAAGCTGATTAAGTCCTGCAAGGCACGGACTTCAGGTGGCAGAGTATTCCAGAGTGATGGTGCCACTACTGTAAAGGCTCTGCGTCTGGTTGCTGTTAGACGCAAGGTCTTGACACTGGGAATTTCCAATAGATCTTGGTCCTCAGAACGGAGGGATCTCTGGGGTTGGGAGGGGGTGAGGCGGTCCCTCAGGTACATCGGCCCCAGACCATGCAAGGCCTTAAAGGTGAGTACCATCACTTTGAAAGTGATCCGGTGCTCAATTGGTAACCAATGCAGCTGTAGTAAGATTGGTGTTATTTGGCATCTCATCGGAATTCCCGCAAGAAGCCGAGCAGCTGCATTTTGTACCAACTTGAGCTTCCGGATCACCGACAGAGGAAGGCCAATGTAGAGGGCGTTACAGTAGTCCAGTCTTGAGATGACCGTGGCCTGGATCACCGTAGCTAGGTGGTCCCTGGACAGGGAGGGGGCCAGTCGTCCAGCCTGCCACAGGTGAAAGAAGGCGGTTCTCCTCACGGCGGAGACCTGGGCCTCCATCGTCAGCAGAGGGTCCAAAAGGCACTGATGGAAGGAATCGGGTACAGAGTCCGGTCAGCCTTCCATCTTCAGCACCAGCTGAGTGTCATCGGTGTACTGGTAACACTCCAGCCCAAAACCTCGAACCAGCTGAGGTATCATGGAATATTAAGACCATTTTAAAGACCGGCCAGTCATACTGTAAGAAACATGGGTTAGGCATATACATCTGAAGGGATCACTTTGGTTGTGTTTACTCTTATGTTTTCTTTCATGATGCTCTTAACAAGGGTGGAAGTGGTAGTTGGCTGTTAGTGTGTGTGTGTGTGTATCTCCATTCCTATGACTTACAAGTGAGGTTTGGTTCAGTAAATAGCGCAATAACTGGGCCTCGTTTTTGGTGTAGTGTGTGTCCATACCTCTTTTCCTTTAGGAAATAGTGACGTCCGTGTACCTTGAGGAGGTAAGGTAGGCAGGGAAGAAATAATATCATTGAGATGGCCACGTCTGTGTTTTCCCAGGGCACTCCAGATTGACACTGAGGGCCTTCAGATTGTAAGGATGTCTCTGTCCGTCCTTGACTGTGTCTCTCTTTTTCTCTCTTTTGCTAGAATGGAGATGTATGTATTTCAATCCTTCACCCACCTGTAGATGACCCTCAGAGCGGGGAGCTGCCATCGGAAAGGTGGAACCCGACCCAGAATGTCAGGTAAGACCATACAGGGGTCAGCCTTGGCGTGGCCAGGTCCGCTAACTTTCTTCGGGCAAACTTCCCTCCATTTCAGCCCTTTCTGTGTTCCCCTGCACTGAAGAAGAAAACATCTCCACCGAGTGAGCTTTGATGCTCTCCAACTTGTGTCTTGAGCCTGTGGCAATTCGTTTGGGGTCCGCTTTGAAGTTTAGGATCGCTGTTTCATGGGAAATAGATAAAGCTGAGACTTCTCTGGGTTTGAAGGTGACCCAAAGAGCCCCTTGTTTGCAGAGGTCATGAATTCCAGGAAATACAAGGAATATCCATAAAGTAAAGTTACAAGGTTTTTTTTAAAATAAAAGAATGAATATATTTTAATAAAACTTAACATGGATTATAGCATAGATATTTCATTTTGTTCCCCACATAATCACCATTCAGTTCAATACATTTTGTCATCCATGGGACAAGTTTTTGATACCTGTGTTATAGAAGTTTCCCTCTGCCTTTTTCAGCCAGTTCATCAATTTGATTTTCACCTTATCACCATTGGAAAAGTGTTTTCCACCCAGTTTAGTGAGCAGATGATAGTCACTGAGTTTGTGATTTAGCCACCCCGGCTAAAAACATCCAAATGAAGTCGTTAACTCTTGTGCTGCATGAGCATTGTGCGAACATGCATTGTCATGAAGGAGACACAGAAAGGAAAAAGAATGAGATGCTCATCTCCAACTTTCACCACAACACCAGTCGATGAGCTACTGATGACTGGCACTGCTCGTTCGCTTCTACTGGCTTCCCACTACACGGAAGTGATATCAACTTCCCCCGAGAAAATTTCCCCACGACAGCTGCATGCCTTGTAACCTTACTTTTCAGATAGTCCTCATAGATACAGGAAGGATAACACATTTTAGGTCTTTAAAAGCTAGTGAAAAAAGTGCCAGTACTTAAAAAAAAAGACATTAATGGTCAGCCTGGATTCATAAACTGTACAAACAATGCCAGAGCTGAATTTGAAACTATGTGGATTAAACAGGCATTGCAAAGCTAGGGCTTATGTAGTTAGTATCTTTTCTACCATCCTCCTTTTTGAAAGGTCAATAATAATAATAATAACAACAACAACAACAACAACTTTGGCACCAGCCAGTAAAGGTGGTCCCAATGGTGATCAGTACACTGGGTGCAGTGCCTAAAGACCTAGGCCTTCACTTAAACACAATTGGCACTGACAAAATGACCATCTCCCAGCTGCAGAAGGCCACCTTACTGGGATTTTCACGCATCATTTGCCGATACATCACACAGTCCTAGACACTTGGGAAGTGTCTGACGTGTGATCCTATACAACAACCAGCATAGTGACCTTGTTTGTTGTGTACTAATCTTGTTATGTATCAAATAATAATAATAATGTATTGTCGAAGGCTTTCATGGCTGGAATCACTCAGTTCTTGTGGGTTTTTTCGGGCTATACGGCCATGTTCTAGAGGCATTTCTCCTGACGTTTCGCCTGCATCTATGGCAAGCATCCTCAGAAGTGAGGACCTCACCTCTGAGGATACTTGCCATAGATGCAGGCGAAACGTCAGGAGAAATGCCTCTAGAACATGGCCGTATAGCCTGAAAAAACCCACAAGAACTGAATAATAATAATAATGATAACAACAACACCAGACATCATGATTGTGGAAAAGAAAAAAGTCTGGATTATCGATGTCGCCATACCGGGTGACAGTCGCATTGAGGAAAAACAACAGGAAAAACTCCAGGAAAAACTCAGCCGCTATCAAGACCTCAAAATCGAACTGCAAAGGCTCTGATTGCATAAACCAGTCCAGCTGGTCCCAGTGGTCATTGACGCACTGGGTGTCGTGCCGAAAGATCTCAGCTAGCATTTGGAAACAATAAACATCGACAAAACCACGATCTGTCAACTGCAAAAGGCCACCTGACTTGGATCTGCGCGCATCATTTGAAAATACATCACACAGTCATAGACCCTTGAGAAGTGTTTGACTTGTCATGTTGTGATGATGTTGTGATATGAAATCCAGAGATCTCACTTGCTGTGACATACTGTGTTTTTGTGTCAGAATAATAATAATAATAATAATAATAATAATAATAATAATAATAATAGATTTAATTTCTTGCCACCTCTCCTTAAAACTTGAGATGGGCTAAAACAAAGTTAAAAACACATAATCATTATCTAAAATATACATATTGAAAGGTATTTTTTACAAAATGCATCTGTTAAAATACACAGAATAAAGATTAAAATATAGAGGACACAAGGTACTAGTTTAGAATCTATGATTAAAACTATTATTACGCCTTGGTGCAGTGGGTTAAACTGCTGATCTGCTGAACTGGCTGACCGAAAGGTTGGCAGCTAGAATCCAGGGAGCTTTTCCTGTTGTTTTTCCTCAATGCGACTGTCACCTGGTATGGCCACATCAATAATCCATTTTTTTTTTCTTTTCCACAATCGTGATGTCTAATGTGTTGTGTTCCAAAACTTTGTCAATCTGGATTCGAAAGTTCCATTATTATTATTATTATTATTATTATTATTATAAATGCAGTGGGCATTCCTCCTTCAAAGCCCTTGTAGGCCAAGCAAAGGTCCTCAGAAGTCCCCAAACATGGTGAAATCAGCTCCCGTGCTCTCTGTAGAGGGCAGAAAGGGCAGCTTGGGGTTAAATGGGGGGCCTTTAGAGACTTGTGGGAAGAATGTCTTGGAGAAAGGAAGGGATGGATGGATGTTTGGAAATCTGCACTCCTGGCTCTGTCACCATACAGCAGCCTTGTACGCATCCATGCATCTCCCTCCCACCTTATGGCATGTTCTCCTTCCTGTATGAGATTTGATGGCACAGTGGTCCTGACTTCTTCTTCTTCTTCTTGCCCCAATCCTCACTTTCTCCAGGACTATCCTACTGAGCGTAATCTCCTTGCTGAATGAGCCCAACACCTTCTCTCCGGCAAACGTGGATGCTTCGGTCATGTTCAGGAAATGGAGGGACAGCAAAGGAAAAGACAAAGAATATGCGGAAATCATTCGGTAAGCCAAGGAAAAGCGGGGGTGTTGTCTGACCACTTGCGGCTTCCCCTTCCCAGCCCTGGGGACCCAAAGGCCCCATTTGCCTCCTGGGCTGCTGCTAGGGAGCAGAGAGAGTGGGTTGAGGGCCTACGTCACTTCAACAGGGAGTAAATATCCACTGGAGGAGGAGTGGCATGGCACAACCCCTGTACTGAATGCCAATGTAGAGCAACCTGTATGGATTAGTGATCCATAAACGTTGCTGGCAACCCATTCTGCAATTTTGGTTTGTAGTGGACAAAGGCAATGCACACCCACATGCTGCTTTGTGTACTTTGATGGGCTGCCCTTTGTGCGACTCGTAATAATGACTGTTATGCACTATTTAAAAAATTCCTTCTGCTCATTTATTTATTTACCGCATTTGTATACCGCCTTTCTCAGCCAGAGGCGACTCAAGGCGGTTCACAGTCAGCAGTGATTCAATGCCATAACAAATTATAAAGATACAGTTAAAACAATTATAAAAGCAATTAAAACATTTAAAATGGGATATAAAAACAATACAGCCTGTAAAAACAAAATCCTCGGTGTCCCCTTACTAAAATCATTGTCCAATTGCATCATCGTTCGTTCCATATATTCATATTCGTCTAATTATGCTCCAGTAATAAATGTTTGCTGGAAGAGCCAGGTCTTAACCTTTTTGCGGAATGTTAGAAGGGAGGGAGCCAAGGGTGTTCCATAGCCGAGGGGCTACCACTGAGAAGGCCCTGTCTCCCATCCCTGCCAAACGTATCTGTGAGGAAGGCGGGATCGAGAGCAGCACCTCCCCAGATGATCTTAAGGCCGTAGATGGTTCATAAGGGGAGATACGTTAGGATAGGTAAGCTGGTCCTGAACCATTTTTGGCTTTATAGGCTGAAGCCAGCACTTTGAATTGTGCAGACTGGCAGCCAGTGGAACTGGCACAACAGAGGAGCCATATGCTCCCTGAGCGCCGCTCCCATTAGCAACCTGGCTGCTGCTCATTGGACCATTTGGAGCTTCCAGACAGTCTTCAAAGGCAATCCCACGTAGAGAGTGTTGCAGTAGTCTATACGGGACCTAACCAAAGCATGGACTACCGTGGCCAAGTCAGAATTCCCAGTACAGGCGCAGCTGGTGCACATGTAGAAAAATATATGTCACCACCAGGATGCCCACCTGTATGTGTTTCCTTTCATGGAGTAAACCCAAGGGTCCTCTCACAGCCTTTGCCAAACATCCAGGCGTAACCTGCAAAGAATCAGGGAAGTGGACCTAAAATCTCCCCTTAAATCCCCCACTGTGACTCCCATATCCACAGGGGATGCATTCCAGGGTTTTGGTGTGGATGGGTGAAACCGTGAGTCATAGCAAACTCTATTGAACAACAGCTTCTGCTGGAAGCATCCAATAGTGTCATGTTAGAGGACCAAAGAAAGCCTGCATCACTGGACTCTCTAGCGTGACTCTTTGTTCAACTCCTGGCAGACGCATACTATAGAATTGCCTGGAGGAGCTGGAAAATGCCTAGGGAGGAGAAATAGGAAGTCCATACTGAAAACAAGTTTCCCTGGAACAGTTTATTTATTTACAGTATTTATATTCCTCCCTTCTCATCCCGAAGGGGACTCAGGGTGGACCACAACACACACATACATGGCAAACATTCAATGCCATTTTAGACATACAGGACAGACAAATAGATAGAGGTATATCGGCATTTTCCAGCTTCGGCGCCTGGAGGTTATGCTTGATTCCAGCCTCAGGGGGGTGCTGTTGCTCCATCCACTATAACAAGCTCTTTCATTGCAGACTTTTTTCCTCCTTGTTCTTTGATTGCTGGCATTTTATGGTGCCGTAAAAGACCACCCCGCTTAAGCGATGCCTGATTTCTGTACTCACTGCTGAGCTGTTTTCTAAGTACTTAGAAATGGTGGATAGTGAGCTGAGCTGACGGACGGGTGCTCACTCCGACTTGAACTCCGAACTGCCAACCTTCTGGCTAGCAACGATGTATTGCTGCTGGTGATTAACTAGCTGTGCCAAAGCTGGTGTCCACCCCCTTGAGAGGAACAGAGTAGTTCTGTCCATAAAGCAAGACTAGGCCCAGGCTAAGCCTATCCAGAATGGGTAGGGAAATGGATATGATCTCTTCGTTCATCTGGAGAGGCCCTCCTCTCGATCCCGCCAGCATCTCAGGCGCGATTGGTGGGGACGAGAGAGAGGGCCTTTTCGGTGGTGACCCCTCGACTCTGGAACTCACTCCCTAAGGACATCAGGCAGGCCCCAACCCTGGCAGTTTTCAGGAGGAACTTGAAGACGTGGCTGTTCCAGTGTGCCTTCCCAGATTAACGATCCCATAGCACTTTGTCCCTCTAAAGCACTTTACGTTTTTTAGGTCTGCTCATATGTCTTTCCACAAATGCCACTATCACCTTTTCGTCCATGTTCAGCACTATTTCGAGCTTTAATTTTTACATTTTGCCTTCCCATAGTTTTAATTGCATGCTGTCTTATTGATAATGTTATATGTTGATGTTTTTGTTTTTTTTAACTGCTTGTATTGTTGTGATTATTGCTTGTATTGTTGTGTTTGGGCTCGGCTTCATGTAAGCCGCACCGAGTCCCTTGGGGAGATGGTAGCGGGGTACAAATAAAGTTAATAATAATAATAATAATAATAATAATACGTGACCATCGTTGGGCTGTGCAAATGTAGACTCGGTGTCACTTCCTAACCCCGCTTCCTGCCCCTCTTCCTCCAGGAAACAAGTCCAGGCAACCAAGGCAGAAGCCGAAAAGGACGGCGTGAAGGTCCCCACCACCTTGGCGGAGTACTGCATCAAAACTAAAGTGCCTTCCAATGACAACAGCTCGGATTTGCTTTACGACGACTTGTACGACGACGACATTGACGACGAAGACGAGGAGGAGGAGGAGGACGCCGATTGTTACGACGACGACGATTCCGGGAACGAGGAGTCCTGACCTGGCCCCTCCGCTCCCCGGCCCCGGCCCCCCGTACTGTCCCGCCTGTTTTGCCAGAGGGGGGCTGCGGCGGCGGCCTCCAAGTGACCGTTCAGCAAAAAATATATCTACACCACATCTACACCTACACATGCATACATACACACACCGACCGGGGTGGGGAAGAAGACACCGACCGAACCCGCGCGACCCGCTTCCTTCCTCCTGCCGTACGGGCCTCGATCTCTCCCCCACACCCTGGTCTTTGGGCCTCCCCACGAGGAAGCCCTCTTCTGCAGAATGTCTCAGAGTTCTTGCATCCTTGCCTCTCCCATCACTGTATTCTGAATTTTGCCCCCCTTTTCTTTTTTCTCCCCCCCCCCCCTTTTTTAAAACTAGCGGCGCTCCTGGCCCCCCCCCCCCGGCATCACTCTGCTCCCCTCCCGCCCGCCTTTCAGGGGCGTTTCCGCAAGACGAGGAGAAATAGGTTTTGCTCTGTGTTTAGCTTCTTGAATTAAACACAGTTTTTCATCGAGATGTTTAATGTATTCAAACGCCGCCGGAGACTGTGGGGGACGCTCCCTGCCAGCTGGGCTTCCATACAGGGGCGGCGGCGGCGGCGGCAGCACCGGCCAACGAGGCTGCCCCACTGACAGTGATTGTGTGCGCAACTTGTTTTGCCTTGTGGTGGTGCTGGTGCTGGTGGTGGTTTCCCCCCTTCCTTCCTTCCCTCCTTCCTCCTTCCCTTCGTTTCTTTCCCCCCTTTCCTTTTTTCAGGCGTTGGGCAGAACGTGGGCTCTTGTGTTCTGACCTTGGCAAGGCCTTGTGGGGCTGAAAGGCCCAGTGTTGCATTTCAGTCCTGCTTGAGGGCCAGGAGGGGAGAGGGTTGATGTTGAGGTTGTTGGGGAGGGGGGAGGGTTACAGGAGGGGCGGACGACGCTTTGGGGAGCCGGAGAGGTGAGCGTACGCCGCGAAAATCTGCAGCAGCGCCTCTCAATCTCTGCATTTCCACAGAAGTTTTGGACATCGACTCCCAGAATCCCTCATCATCAGCCAATGCAGCTGAGGCTCCTGAGAGTTGAAATCCAAAACACCCGAAGGACTAGAATCTGGGAATCTACAATCTGCAGCAGCGCCTCTCAATCTCTGCACTTCACAGATGTTTTGGACACCGACTCCCAGAATCCCTCATCATCAGCCAATGTAGCTGAGGCTCCTGAGAGTTGAAATCCAAAACACTTGAAGGACTAGAATCTGGGAATCTACAAGATAAGCAAGAGATTTCTGGGTGGGGAAGGACTAGAATCTGGGAAGCTACAAGATAAGCAAGAGATTTCTGGGTTGTCTCGTGATGATGATGAACCTTCCCATAAAGCCATCAAAACATGCTGCATTCTGCCCCACGGAACCCTTTTGGTGGTCCTCTTTCTCCAACAGACGTGAGTCTTTGGCCTCACAGAGTAGCAGCCTCTCCACTCCAGCACGTTTCCTGGAGACTCTTCTAGGTGTGTTGGAAGGATGCGTTGAGGACAAGGCTTTGCCACAAGTCGCTCTCTCTATGGATGGCTGCTGCTTCCTGCACTTGAATTTGTTGTGCCCTGCAGAGTGGATTCAGCCCCTTGTTCCTGTGGCAGAAGGAGACATGGTTTGACCATTGTTTCCTGCAGGATAGAGACCTCTTCCTTAGTCAGAGGCTTCTTGCCAGCTGGGCTCTGGCATTTTGGCACACGGGGGCAAAAGGTGCCTCTCAGATGGGCTCCCAAAGTGTTTGAGCTCCCCCCTTCCCACCCAAAGGCCTGTGTTTCCTTGGGAAATGGAAGGCTGCTGCTACTGAGGTGCGCACCTCTGCTCTGTGTTGTACAGGGAGTCAAGAGTATGATGTGGCAACATCTGTGGCTGGCTTTCAGAGATGGAAAAGGCAGGGAGTAGAAGGAACACTCATGGGGAGACCAAGAAAAGAGCCCCTGCCTTGGAAAATTAGGTGCTTGTGGCCTTCAAAATGGTCCTGTAGGCTTCAGTTCCACTTTCTTTAGCCTCATATTTTCTTTCTAATGGAAGAGAGACTGTGATGATGGGAGGAGATCAGGCAGAGCTGGGTCTGTAGCAGTACGTAGTCCTGATGCTTTGGCTTCTAGTCTGGGTTGTGGCCTTCTGGCCCTATTGTCATCTGAATCTGTTTGCTCTGTGGGGCATGCCCACCTCAGCAAGCGAGTTGACTGATCAACCCAAGTCCAGGGATGCTGCGAGAGGCCACATGTGCAGCACAGAACCCCATAGGCTCTTTCTCCATGCCTCTGGGCCACTTGCCGACTGGCCGTCGCTCTGCCTTTTTCCAAGGGCCCCATCACACCTTTGGTGCCAAGTGCAAGGCTCAGGTCCCCTCAGACTTCTGATGCAACCATGGAGACCACGTGTCTTCACCTGCCCACTCAAGGGTCCCCAAGAACGAGTGAAGAAAGCATATCTAGAAAGAAGAAAGGAAGTGGTGGCAAATTGGCTTAGTTAGTCAGAGTCTGTAGAGCAGTGGTTCTCAACCTGTGGGTCCCCAGGTGTTTTGGCCTACAACTCCCAGAAATCCCAGCAGTTTACCAGCTGTTAGGATTTCTGGGAGTTGAAGGCCAAAACATCTGGGGACCCAGGTTGAGAACCACTGGTTTAGATTGTTATGGTTGACATCCCACTTCAGGTGTTTTGGCCTACACCACCCAGAAAGCCAGTCTACCCACTGTTAGGATTTCTGGGAGTTGGAGGCCAAAACATCTGGGGACCCACAAGTTGAGAACCACTGCTGTAGAGAAAAGACCCTCCTTTCCAGCTAGCCTCACACTGCATGTTGAGCTGTTCATTTCTGAGAAGACGGGGAGGCCGTGTCGGGCAGAATGTGGGACCCCCGTGCTTCGGTCGGTCACTCCTCGGATAGAGAGGGATCCGCCTGCCCTGGAAACGAGAGGCGAAAGGGGGTGCGGAGGGCACTCTCGGGCCGGCCTGAAATGCGGATGCTGCATCTCTCGGCCCCTTTTCCCCTTGTACTTTGACCGTGTTCACTGTATACTCTCCAGTGACTTGTATTCTCCAGTTGGTGGTGTGAGATGCATTATGATGATGATGATGATGATACCTCTGTCCTCCCTTGTGGTCACTCTTCTTTTGGGGAGGGGGGGGGACGACGACGGGAGGGTCTGCACTCTCCGCTGAGCCAAGGCCGACTTCGAACACCGACTTCGATCCCGTCTCCTCTTCTCCTCGCGATCCAACCCAGCGACCGAAATGCGACTATCAAGCGACTCAAGAGATTGAGGACACACATGTTTACTCTGCGAGCTCTTCTGCGGCCTGGTCCTCTCTCCTGCCCCACCCACCTCTGCGTTTACATTTCTGACCGAAGAAACAAACCAACCAGTTCAGATGCAGTTCTTAACATTTTGAAACCAACAGGGAGCACTCGGATTCTATTGCTGTTTTTCTCTTTTCAGCGCTGAAATCTTGGATGTTTTCTCTCCCCTCTCCTTCTCTTTCTCTCTCTCTCTCCTTTTCCCCAGTTGATGCAACTTACCAGACCAGGTTAAACTAATGCATTTTTTTTCTTTTGTGTTGTCTCCTTCTCCTTTGGTAATTTAGTTTTGGTTTTTTTCTGCACATCTGTCTACTAATAAAATGTAGAATAAAGTACACCTCTATTCTTAGTTCCCTGTGCAAAGGGCACCTCTGAAGGAGTCTCAATGGCTCCCAGGCAAGCTCCTCATGCCCAACATGATCTTTCCCTGACTTCTCTTCCTTCTGCCAGTATCATAAAACAAAAGGACTTAGGAAAACAACCCAGAAATACCTGCTCATAAGCTGTGCCCAACTCTTGTTATAGAAAAAGTATTTCTCTTGTCCTTGAGTCTCTAGTTCTTCTATGGCCGTGATGTTTCACGGGTGTTAGATGCATGACTTTCCAGATTATGAATGAGGAGATGTGCTTTAGATTCATAGAATCAAAGAGTTGGAAGAGACCTCATAGGCCATCCAGTCCAACCCCCTGCCAATCGACTGCTGGGCTGGATCAGGAGAGTATGAGAAGTAAAAACCATATGGTAGAAACCTAAAGACCACCTTGAGAGTCTAATGAAGGTGGCTAGAAAAGAGGACCCCTTCCTGTATGTCACTTCAAAGCTTTCAAGTTATTTCAGCACCTAGAATTGTGGTAGGAATCAGAACATCAACTAGTTGGTCAACAGTTAAGAATTGTGGGAATCACAACCTCAAGTAGTTGGTCAATGGTTAACAATTCTGGAAGCTCATGTTATTTCAGCACCTAGAATTGTGGTAGGAATCAGAACATCAACTAGTTGGTCAACAGTTAAGAATTGTAGGAATCACAACCTCAAGTAGTTGGTCAATGGTTAACAATTCTGGAAGCTCATGTTATTTCAGAACCTAGAATTGTGGTAAGAATCAGAACATCAACTCGTTGGTCAACAGTTAAGAATTGTAGGAATCGCAACCTCAAGTAGTTGGTCAATGGTTAACAATTCTGGAAGCTCATGTTATTTCAGCACCTAGAATTGTGGTAGGAATCAGAACCTAGTTGCTCAATAGTTAAGGATTGTATGAATCACAACCTCAAGTAGTTGGTCAATGGTTAACAATTCTGGAAGCTGAAGTCCAAAACATCTGGAGGACCAGAGTTTGGGGACCACAACATTATACTAAACAGCTGCTCATAAGGAAGTGTTAAACCTCTACAAGCCCTTCCCAGGAAATTGTTTGTATTCTTTCTCTTGGGCCTTTGACATCCACAGTTGTCCGTCTACATTTGCAAGGTTTGTTGTAAGTGGTTCCCTCACACCTGAACACTTTGAAGTTCTCCTTCCATGTGAAAATGTTGAGCAACACTATGTAACTTCACCTACTCTTAAGTAGTTTTTGGTGAGAAACTGATTGGAAGTCATGTAGAATCCTAGAGTTGGAAGAGACCTCATGGGCCATCCAGTCCAACCCCATTCTGCCACGAAGCAGAAAAATTGAATTCAAATCACCCCTGACAGATGGCCATCCAGCCTCTGTTTAAAAGCTTCCACAGAAGGAGCCTCCACCACACTCCGGGGCAGAGAGTTCCACTGCTGAACGGCTCTCACAGTCAGGAAGTTCTTCCTCATGTTTCTGTCCTCAAAGTCATGGATATACATCTGGCACATGCAAGAATGCCATGGCTCCTGTTGTTTCACTCATGGCACCTTTCTCCAAACTCACTTCTATGCATGTGCATTTGTTTCTGGTGTTGATACACAATGAGATTGGTAGTGGTGCATTTTCAAGTAGCTTCACCTAGAATATTGGATATCTTTTGGAATGAAAGCCAGTGGGAATGTTGTGTCCAATTCTGTGTCCCAAAGTCCAAGAAGATGGACAGTATGGAAGGTGTCCAGAGAAGGGCCACCTTCAACACAAAATGGTCAAAGGTCTGGAAACTATGAATCCCTCTAAGGCAGGGGTTCCCAACCTGTGGTACGAGGACCACCAATGGTTCACAAAAACTAAAATGTGGTCCAC